TCCTGGAGGCCTCTCCACATCCCTTGAGAGTACCTCATTTTATTTGTGCTGAACACCCCCATCGCTTCATAGTCATCATACTTCTTGGCCTGGAAAGTGTGCGGGAATCCTTTCATAACATAACAGTGTCACTCATTAATTGTCAGGAGGAGATGTTTATAAACAACACCAGATACTTCGTCTTCTTAAGGGGCCAAGTAATCCTGTTGGAGAATCCTGGAGAGTAAGAAGCCAGGAAACAATCTAGAGCTAGATTCAGAATTTTCCCCAATTAGTCCAGTGTTATTGGGTAGGCCCAAACTGAGATAATTTACAGGAACAAATCAACTTTTTTGTGCTGGACTTTGTGGATTCTGAGATACTGGTCCCAGATGCACATTCAGGACAAGTCAGTTAAAATCATTCTTTACAATCCAGCTTCTCTCTCTTATCTGACTGGTAGTTAATACTAGAGTAGCTTGGCTGATGAAAATATGTAACCTGTCCAGCATGATCATTTCTGTCCAGCATGGTCACTTGTTTGTACTGGGGATGAAGTTCTAAGCTATTATTTAAAACAACTTTTCTATTGTAATCTGTCTCTTTCATACCCACAATTGTTCATTGACAACCTGTTCCCAAAAAGTACTTGTTTTAAGATGACAAGTTTGTGTATTTAAGTGGATGGACCAAATTCAGTCTTGGTGTACTTGCATACAGCTCCCATGTTTTCAGTCTGATAGTACTTACATCACTGCTGAATTTGGCTCTGTATATTTATAAGAGACACCTAAGATTCATACCTGAAGAATGGACTCCTCATATTGTTAAAAAAAGGACTCCTTAGAGAAAGTAACGTTATACATTCCAGTCCATTTATTCTTTTTCGTGCATAAAACTATTTCAGATTTTTGTTAAGAAGTTTATTATCGCAACAAATTTAATTCTGCTTGCTTAATCTTCTAACACAGCAAGTGTTATGACTTTTTTAAACTACTGAAATACTGATCTCTCAAATGCCCCATCATGTTCTAGCCTAAATCATCATGTTTTCCCAAGCTACAGTAATTTTTTGCTTCTAATTATATACAGTTCTTAAGAGCTAAGTGTTATCGATGGAGTTTTGACCTTAATGTTTTGTTTTGTGTTTTGCTTTTAAAGTTGAAGAAAATCCAGAGGGTACCATTTGTGTGGGCCAAGTTAAACAAGAACCCAGAGAACAAGCATTGTCTGTGGAGGCAGATAGAATCAGAGACTGCCAGAACTCTGCCACTATTTAAATCCATGAAGGCATTAAGGATTTGCAACTCAGAGGACTCTAAATGTCTTGGAAAAGAAAGCGGATATTCTCCAAACAATGCCATTCTTCAAAATGGCATTGTGACAGTCAGTATAGGCACCATACACTAGTTCTGACAGACAGCTGCTTTGATTTACAGCTGATACGGTTCACTGCCAATTCCAGGTCATTCAGTTCCCATGTGGAACACCTCCTCCTTCTTCCCTTCCATACTATCCAGATGGTCTATTTTGCTCAGCATTTCAGTAGGTCTTCCAAAATGAAGTCCCTGAGTTTTATAATATGAATCAGAATGCTACTCTCACTAATCTCTTTGAAACCCTCACCTATCCTGGTACTCCAAAGACAACAGAATCTGCCCTTAAATGCATCAACAATGGCAGTCATTTTGAGAGAAAAATAAAGTCTTTGGAAATCAAGATGCAGAACTTTAAAAGTGCCAAGGGCAAGGGATGCATGAAAAATGTGGACTGCATCTGATAGGAATGTTAGTGATGGAAAGGTGAAATTGCCAGGTGAAAATAAAACTGGGTTATGGAACTGGAGTAGATGGAATGAAGAGTAGAAGAGGATTATGTTTTGATGTATTTAACATTCTGGCTTTATCATGGGTTTACTTTCTCAACCTGCAGCCTTTATATTGAAAGGGCAGCAGCCAGCTGGTCATAATGACTAAAAGCAACAGTTGCATCTCCTGTGGAAAGATTGGTGGTAGTGTTTTAGCTTACTTCCCTCTTTGTGCACTTATACTTTACATTCACGTAGGCATATGATTTAATATGCTGATGGTCATGGCATAGGTATTAGTGATACCATGATTAAAAACAATATTCCAAATCTGAGCCATCTGCTATGTTGAGATAAGCGGTAGAAAAACAAACAACATACAGAGGTGCTGTCTTTGTGGTGGTCAGAAAATAAATGGGTCTCAAGTTTTGCCTAAGACAGCTGTTAGGACTGAACAAGGGTCTATGTTGTTTCTCGTCAGTTACATTTCAGGAGCTAATTGAATTAATGCCAGAGGAATTTTTTTTTTCTGCATCGTGGTCAAAGTCAAGTCCATAACAAGCAGCAAGAACTGAGTTATATTTTATGTGCCAGGCAGAATTCATAATGAATGACTCATACTTACAAATATTTTAAAATCAGTTTTAAGCAATAAAGGAAATAAAACTGATACAACATAACTAGCAAATTAAATAATAGTAAGTTTGCTTCAGATGTTGTTTATAGCAGCATTCAGAACCACCATAGGTTCAGTTCTACCAGCATATGTATTATTAACCCGTATTTCCAGGGATTGATAACTCAGCGATAACAGTTCACTCTTGTTTATATGACTTGCAAGATCAGTTTGACTATGGTTTTACTTACAGATTTGCAAAGGAAAAATTATTACAAGTATTATTTGTGCATATAAAGGACAAAAACGGTTCAGATCAATGTTATTAATGTGCGTTTAAAGCGTGCACAAACATCTTTAAATATTAGAAATCTGAAATAATCTTGAATTGCTTACTTTTGTGCACTTAAAGCTAAAGATCCTTGAAATATCCCATTGTGTTTAGGATCTCCAAATATCTTTACATGCTGCATCAGTTAAGGTCTTACCTCTAAAAATCTTTACTCCAGTAAGTATTCCTAATACTGTTAACGCTGTTAAAATCTAATTTTTGTGGTTTAAATGGTTTAAATTGGGACATTCCTACAGGGATTGCTCTTTTTAAGTAAGAGCCAACATTACTTCATGTGGGCAGTTATAGAATCTCCAGTTGTGTGGGGTCTCATAGATTGCATTTGAACTCATTTCATTTATGGTTTGCCTTATACATTTCTGTGTAGGTAAATTCAGTGATATGCTGTGCATTTTATATTTCCGTTAAAGTTGTGGCGTCTCATGTAGAATGGATGTTTGGTCCTGCTTCATTTATAGCCCCGGAGTGCACAGCATACAGGATTATCTTTTTCTTTAAAATTCTGTCAGCAGTATGTTAGCAGTTGATTCCTCCTCCCACTCAGCTACCGTTGAATATCATTTAGCTTTTCCTGCTACTCTTACAATTTCAGTTGGTACATTCCAAGATAAATCACCCTCCTCAGTATTCTGTGATATTGACATTGAAATCTTGATTCAGAACAGCAAATTAATATTAAAAATTACCAGTGACAGGTTTAAAAGAATTCTAGATTCCTGATTCATGTAAAAATCGAAGGCAAAAATTTTGCAATGATTAAATACCCATCAATTGTTGCGTATTTCCCCAGTGACAATGTTGAGGAAGGACTATTCTTTTGCCAGTTACTATTTCTCCTAATATAACACATGATCTGATTATACACTAAGCAGGAGAAAATTCAAAGGATATAGACTTTACTCATAGTGAATACAGGCTGCTAAAGGAAAAGCTCCTTTAGGCCATTTTGAATAGCAGACTAAGGAGTGACTTTTCCCAATCTAGCTTGAATTGCACAGTTCCCTGAAAAGAATAGAACCAGAAGTTTTTTGTCAAGAGGGTGCAGATAGAGATAAATTTCAAGGGGTCAGTTATGGAATGAAAGAAATTACATATAAATGTAAAAGTTTTAATCTCTGGTTTTTGCCGTCCCATTTCTCCTGTTTTTTATTTATAGAACATTGTAAAATAATTGATTTTATTTTAAATATTTCTGTGGCTGATACTCAAATTGTAGTTTCAAAATTAACTTCAAATTCTTTAAATTCTAATTCTTTTCTGTCTAAATGTATACTCTGGTTATGTCACTGTTGTTTTTGGAGAGAGCGTAGTCTTTCCTCTTACAAAGTTATGTTTACGCTACGTGTGTTATGTTTCACACAATCTGAAGTGATCTGGACACATAGGCCCACTTGTACTCAAATTGGTGTTTTGGTTCGCTAGGTTCCAACTGAAGGTTACAGATAAAAGGCCCGATTCTCCTCTCATGCACATGTATAAACTACATTGATTTTATTGTAGTTACATCAGTGTTAAACTAGTGTGAGTGAAAGAAGAATCGAGCACAGTGCTGTTCTGAGTATGTTGCATAGTCATTTAATTTGAGTTTACATGTAAAATAATTGGATATCAGCTCACAGTAGGCGTTAGAAACATTTCTAAAGTTAACTCTGGCTTCCTCAAAACACTTGTTTTACAAGCCTACTAATTCTGAGCTTGCACAGGGTTTTCAGTGAACTAATTCTTCACCAATCTTTCCTCCTTATGTCAGTTGCTCACGAAGAGTGATTGGTCTGCTTCATAAGAAGGGCTGTGTGCATGCAAAAACTGTTAGTTAAAATGCAGAAAAATCACCTAAAAGACATGGGTCCATGGTTCTCGTTCAAGGCTGGAAACCAGCAAGGCTTTTTCTTTCTGTGCTGTCAAGACACAAGCTTGATGGTGTGTCTGAAGAATGTTTCAGTTTGTACAAAGTTTAAAGAGAGACAAATCTATATATATTGTAACTTAATGTATAGTGTTCCTTGTTGAAATGTAAACTTTTTTTTTTTTTTTAAGAAACAGCCTGTATTGTGTGATGATTGTCTTGGTTGTATTCTTCCTACAGGTTGAGGTGCTGTTTGTGTTAATGTTGCTTATCTAAAATAATTGCTTTTGATACAGATATGTTAATATTGACTCCTGAAACTGTCCATAAATACCAAAACTTTGAAAATGCTAAACCTTATATAAAAAAAAACAAACCCAAAAAACTAGAGTTAACTGGCCATTCTCAACATGACAAAAGTTTTGCTTGTTTAAAAGGAAAACTTCCATGGACACTTTTTCCCAAACAAAAAATCTATAGAATTGTGTGTTTCCTAATCAGAAACCCACACATGCTTATGGTGTATGTTTCCCCACTGCAATATGCAAAGGTTGAAAGTGCCTAAATCCAAGTAAGTATCCATTTATTATTTTACAGCAACACAGGTGTACATATTGATATGTGCACTGCCCTGTTGGCCTTGAAGTCTAAAGTTAGCTTTAAGACATACTAGCCTAGTTTGCCGCCTACATTGAGATTTTCCCCCCTTCCTCATGGTTCCTTCAGGGAACACAGTTTGTCACCAAACAGGCCATGGAGGCCACCTCCAAGTCTCTGGGATCGATAGGCAGCCAAAGTCGTCTGTGCATAAGACCTTTGCCTCTTCAATCTGCTCCTGGTGGTTCACTGTGTTCCTGGCAGTGTGGCTTCATTGGAGCTGTGCTACCAAGGACAAACCCTGGCTGCAGCTGGCTTTCAGGGTAGGATTGAGAGGGCTCAGCAGGGAAAACTGTACAGCCTCATACTGTATTTTCCTGGATTGTGGGGGGGGAGAGCAAAGCTGAGTCCCAAAGGAAGGAATGTTTGGGCTGCTTGAGCAGGGGTCAGGAAAGTGCAACCTGTGGGAGATGGTAGGAGACACCACAGGGAGGAGCATGAAAGTTCCTGCAGAGGGGTATAGGTGTAGGGCGGTGTTCATGAGGAGAAAGGTGTTTGAGGGCTGGGGTCCCTGCAGAGGAAGGAGCTGGGCTTGGGGTGTTCCATCTGGTGGTGGAGGAGCCTCCATATGGAGGAAGGTGCTGGGGGCTGAGTTTCCCGCAGTAGGATATTGATGTGGGCTGCATTGGGGTGTTTCCATAGGGTTCCTCAGTTCTGTAGCTGGATTCTGAACCTGTCACAAAGGCCTGACGTGGCTGCGGAATCTCTGGCTGTAGTAGGCAAAGGCTACTCTGGGGAGCCGCAACCATGTACAAGATAAGACACTCTTCACTTCCCACAGACCTGAAGCTCTGTTCCTGTTTCGGTCAGTACCAGGGACAAGTAAACTCCTGGCCATAGGTTGATAGGCACCCCCATCTTGTAGCAGGGGAGAGAAAATCCCTGCTCAAAGCCTCTGACCCAGAAGAGAGGTTTCTCCCCTTAGGTTTACCAGGAAGCCATGCTTTGTTTCCTAGGCCTAATATCTCCTACTAGCCTATCGCTCCCCTCCTACAGCCTCAGCTTTCCCTATCCCAAATGCACACAATCTCCACCCAAGCCCTGGAGGCCTCTGTTCCTTCAGCTTGTCCCCTTACCAGTGCCAAGCCCACCGGTCACAGGTCCACCTACCCCAGTTCCCAGTCTGCTCCTGTCCACTGGGAGGAGTTGGTGGGTGCCCCTCTTGCCAGATCCTGGTAGAGTTGCCTCTGTGTGTCAATTTTTCTGTTCATTTTCTTTCCTGGTGTTTTCTTTCTCTCATTTTTTCCTCCTTCCTTTATGGTTGGTGGTTCTTTTGCTCAACTTGTGGTTCTTTCCCCCATCTCAGGGATTCCCACTCCCCAGCAAGGACCAGCACAGGTGCAGGGGGAATGGCAGGCAGCTAATTTGCATAGAGCTACTTGGTTTTAATCACAGCAACAAAGCACCTTTTGTAGTTGGGGGGAGGTAGGGAGGGCAGCAGTGTGGATCTGCGTCCGATTCGGGCAGCTCTCTTCACTCTCTGCTTCTTTCTTCCACCACATGCTGAGAATAAATTAAACTGATGTTCCTCCCAGTGGTCTGGATTTAGAAACTGCCCTGTCCCCTTATCTTTCATACCGTGCCAGCTCTTCACTACACTTTGGGTGATAGCTGCCTGCCTACTTCCCCATCTACTGATAAACTATGGTGCACTCCTCCCCCTATATAAGTAGAATTTTTTTTGTTATTTTTTAATTTTTTTATTTTTTGAGTTTCACTGAAGAAAACCATGAAAGAGGCTGAAGTCTCTTCAGGAATTATCAGACGGAACGTGCTCTTCAAATCCCTCACTCCAACAGGCAATCTGTTCATTTCTCTATCATGTAGTGATGGAAGCTGACTGTCTTTTATAGGCTCTTTGCTAAGGAAACTTCATTTGCCCAGTCTAGACAAAGTTTTCGGAGCCCAGAATAAACTGCAACAACTATCCCATCAGAAATAATTATCTTCTTTCAGCAGCCCATGTTGAGATCTGATTAGTGAGTGTTAAAGGCACTGTTTAAAACAAGCTGCTTTATTATTTATTTGTAGGTAGTAAGCTGGATACAACTAAGCAGCAAAGACGAATGAAGGTATGATCTTTTACCCTGCAGAAACCTCAATGTCTGTCGGCTTTTTTTCTGTCAATATAAACTGTTACTCCTGCTACTTTGAGTAAAATAGCTGACTTAGCCTCCAGCTCCTTTCTCAGGCAGTATATTCACTTAAAATAAATCAATGGAGATGTGTTTTCCAAGGGGCCCTGACAGGGATGAACACAAACAGTAATGTTAACTGTCAAGAAAGATTAGCAGATGTTTAACATTTAGGGCTACATCTTCATCTGCAGCAATGCAAAGGGGACTGAAAGCTGCCTTAAGGGAACAGCTGAGGGGTTCCCCCTGTAGTGGGAACTCTCGGCAAGCATAGGGGCTTGCCGAGTTAGGAACACACTGGGTCAGATCAGTGGTCCAGCTAATTTGGCATACTACCACCAACAGTGGTCTATACCAGATGCTTCAGAGGAAAGTGCAAGAATCGTTTAAAAGGCATGTCCGGGTTCCCTCCCTACTCTGAACTCTAGGGTACAGATGTGGGGACCCGCATGAAAGACCCCCTAAGCTTATTTCTACCAGCTTAGGGTAAAACTTCCCCAAGGCACAAACTCTTTGCCCTTGGAGGGTACGCTGCCACCACCAAGTGATTTAACAAAGAATCAGGGAAAGGACCATTTGGAGTTCCTATTCCCCCAAAATATCCCCCCAAGCCCTTACACTCCCTTTCCTGGGGAGATTTGAGAATAATATCCTAACCAATTGGTTACAAAGTGATCACAGACCCAAACCCCTGGGTCTTAGGACCATAGAGAAATCAGTCTGGCTCTTAAAAGAAACAGAACTTTATTAGAAAAAAGGTAAAAGAAGAACCTCTGTAAAATTAGAAGGGAAGCTAATCTCACAGGGCAATCAGATTTAAAACACAGAGGATTTCCCTCTGGGCAAAAACTTTAAAGTTACAAAAGAAAACCAGGAATATACCTTCCTCTCAGCACAGAGAAAATCACAAGCCAAAACAAAAGTAAACTAACGCATTTCCTTGCTACTATTTACTAATTCTAATGGAATTGGATTGCTTGCTTTCTTGATCTCTCTCCGGCAAGCACACACAACAGACAGACCCAGAACAGAAAAACAAAAACCTTCCTCTCCCTCCCCGCCAGATTTGAAAGTATCTTGTTCCCTTATCGGTCCTTTTGGTCAGGTGCCAGCCAGGTTACCTGAGCTTCTTACCCCTTTACAGGTAAAAGGATTTTGTGCCTCTGGCCAGGAGGGAGTTTATAGTACTGTATACAGAAAGGTGGTTACCCTTCCCTTTATATTTATGACAAGGCAGTTATGGGATAACCTGCCCCCAGGGAAGGTTTCTTCCTAACACCCCAATAGCAAAAAGAAAGTTTAAGCCCTGAAGCAGGGGGGATGATATCCCTCCCAAGTTGAGAGTTTTGGTTCTATTTAAAGAGAAGCCGCTGATCCAATACTTTCCCCATCCTGAGCCCTCACTATCTTTGCATCTAGGAACCATTGCTGCTTTTAGTTTAACCTTTTATATTAAAAACTAACTAGATGTTTGGGTTTATGGTATAGGTTGCCCAGCTTTCCAATCCAATTACATTTAGTGCAGTGTAGAGACACAGATGATAGATTTATTTGTTGTGAAGGCCAAGACTATAACAGGGTTCAAAAAAGAACTAGGTAAGTTCATGGAGGATAGGTCCATCAATGGCTATTAGCCAGGATAGTGTCCCTAGCCTCTGTTTGCCAGAAGCTGGGAATGAGCGACAGGGGATGAACCACTTGATAATTACCTGTTCTGTTCATTCCTTCTGAAGCACCTGGCACTGGCCACTGTCGGAAGACAGGATACTGGGCTAGACGGACCTTTGGTCTGACCCAGTATGGTCGTTCTGATGTTCTTATTTGTGTTTTGGGAAGCCAGTAGTCAAGGTCTATTTTTTTTAATGGGTTGGCATTCATTAAACTGTTTACAATTCAGATTACTTAGCCATGTTTGTTATATTTCAAATGTCCTCCATACAATGTCTTCAGTGTTCTGCTTACAAGATGGTTGTGAACCATTCAGCATGTGTCAGGCTAATGGGGTTTCTCTAGTTTCTCGGAATGACTCTTTTGTTACCATTAAGGAGGCATTTTGTTCCCAGTGGGGTGAGGTGATTGCCTGCTGGTCTAAAAAGGCAGAACTTTCTCTGTCACCATCTAAATAGCTGCTTAAGCTGTTAAACACTTATTTTCCCCCTTCTGTTTGGTATAATAGTGGTAATGTTAATAGAATGCACTTTTGCTCTCCCCAAAAGTCTAACCACATCAAAAATTAATGTCTGCTTTCCCTTGGCATCCATTCTCCAGCCTTATTGACAGCTAACAGAGCACCAGCTTCCATTCTGTAATAGTTAAACAGCACATTAGTCTAAGCTAATTAAATTTCTCCCTTTCCCCAAGCCCTTTTCTAATGAAGAATGACACGGCTTGGAGGAGGAGGAAATTCTTAGTTGCATTGTGATCACTTAACTTTGAGGTACCAGATATGAAGGCAATGGAGAGTAAAAACATACGCACAGCAGATCTTCAGATCTAATCTTTAGCCATTTTTCCAAAGGTACCTATGTGGTCTGTGTCGTTTACACTATGGCAGCAGTTGTACAGCTTTTCTTGCCAATAAAGTATAATTGAACTGGATTTGTAGCTCTACTCTTTAGGCTGTATATGCTTAGGGCGGCGTATAGAGTCCTTACGCTGCATGTCCCCCTAGCACGGGTATGAATGACAATGTAAAGGTGAGGCACTGCTTAGCCAAGTAGAGTAACAACAAATAAGAACCTTAGGGTATATAACCTACATGGCTCTACCTGCTCAAGCTCTGCCTCCCCAAACTTTGCTGTTATTTTTAGCCGGGTAGTGTCCTGCTGCCTCCCTGCTTCTGGAGCCTTTCCCTACCACAGTGAAAGGCTGTATACTGCTGTGTGTAGCTATATGTACCATACACGCCACCAGCCGTGCAGAAGAGGCCTTAGTTAAATTAAATGGTAATGGTTATTATTTGTATTTCAGTAGCTCTGGCGGCTCTAACTGAGATCAGGGCCCCATGGGACTAGGGGCTGGGGACACACATAATGAGAGAGCAAAAAGTTTGCAATCTAAATGGGTAAGACAGACAAAGAGTGAGGAGGGGAAACAGAGCCACAGAGAAGTGAAGTGACTTGTCTAAGGTTACAAAACAGGGCAGTGACAGAGCCCAGAGCCCAGGTTTTCGAACGCCCAGTCTATCACCTACACCATGGTGCTTCCCATTATAAATACAAATGCTTATACTTTAATTTGGACTTTAATGATTTTCTGTGCTTGTTCTTTTAAGACTTTCTACAGGCTTGCTTTGGATATTGTAGTCATGAACAAGGTGTGCAAGATATTCCGGAAGGGACTGATGGGGTTCAGGGGATTTCAGTTCATTGATATGACTGCCCAGGAATCCCTGGCCTTTGGTATGGAAGAAGTAAGGGATTTTACAACATAGAATAAAATCATCCTCTTCCTTTTTATAATGATTTATCTCTGTGTTCGGTTCAAATGTGCCCATTACCCAGGCTGCTGTGAGCATTTACATCAAAGCCTGACCAATTGCCAGTTCAGAAAAGGCTCAGTTCTAGGAACTAGTGGCCTCCTCCTGGTTTCTGCATTGCCCGCTATGTATATATTAATGTAAATCTATTGTTTTTCTCAGTAAATCTGATGGGCTTTTATTTTAAATCCTTTCTAGTGTGTGGTTGTTTTTTTTATTGAAGAGGTGAACTTAAAGTTAAAATATGTTTGTACAATAGTTTTACAGAAGCTTGCCTTGTCACTGAAATGTTTGTGTATTTCACTATCTCTGTGACAATTCTAATGCAATCAATGCCTCTCCCTCTTCCTCACCCCTCTTTTATTCAGGACAAGAAATATACCAAACTGTCCTTCGACCACAATGAGTTCAAGATCAGAAAGGTCTGAATGCACTTTGTCTTGTTTTACAGCCAGCTCTCCTTTCATCTACAGTGCAAGACACTGAAATATTTTAAGGGTCCCCATGCGAGAGGAGCAGGAATTTGTGAGTTCCAGCAAACACAATGGGGAACTCACTCCTGTTATGCAAGGACGCTTCAATTGTCCATCTACTAAACCCTGTTTGTCATTTGACATTCCTTCTGAATATTTCCAAAGAAACCATTTCACAACATTTACAGATACATAGAATTTAAGAGTGTGACATAAACACAAGCAATTTAATCAGAAATATTCTTCAGAAAATATTGTGCGGGCAGGGATAGCTCAACCACTGTTAACAGTTGTTTTCCTTGACTGTGCTTGGGCTTTGCATTGGACCACATAAATTGGTTTCTGGACACTGATGGCTGAGTTTCAAGTGAAATGGAAAACAGACAATTTGGGATTAGTTCTATTACATCTCTGGAAGATGATGCTGTTTAGTCTTCTGGAGTGCAGGTTCTTTTTGTTTTGGAGGTTTTTTTTGTTTTGTTTGTTTGTTTGTTTTTTCATTTGAGACTCCTTAGTTTAATGAGTGTGTGATGTTTTGCCAGGATCACTTTCCTCTCAAGGCAATCCAGATAACCAAGAAGAAACCAGAATGGAGAACTGAGAAGGAAATAAAGCTGTTACAAAGCTGGTTGCAGTTTGTGGAAAGCTACCGAAAATATAGCCTGAATCTGCAGTTGCTTCTGGCTAAAGTGATTCGCTTTGAACGGTAAATGTTCTTGTGAAGAGGTGTAATGTTTTTTTAAAGCTGTTTTTAGAATTGTACATATTTCAAGCTTCCAAATGACACTTTTTAGCCCAAAATTAGAACAATTACATGGATAACTCTCCATTTATTTTCAGTCTATGGTGTGTCTATTGAATGTACATTAGCCTGAAGGATGACTTCATGTTTTTGCTGTCTTTATCTAATTTCCTCTGTGTAGTCGGTGACATACTGATCTGTCTCTTACACTCTAGAGTGAGACTTTTCAACACTTATCAAAGAATTTGGACATTCAATTCTCATAAATATTAGTAGGAATTGGGCATCCAAATCCCTAGGGAGCTTTGAGATTTCAATCAAAAATGTCATGTTAGAAGCTTTTCAGGTTTAAATGTTATCTGTCTCCCACTTCTTGCCTTTCTCTTAGAGGGTTGCATTCAGACTCTGTTCACACGTATGGTATTAAAGGGGGTACATTAATGCTGCAATAACAAAAGCAGCATTAATGGTGTTCCCACGTAGAACTCCCCCTCCAACCTGAATTTATTCCTACCAGGAGTAGGAGACTGTGATCTCCACAAAGCATGGGGTGTCAAGGTCAAGGAATGCACACACTAAAATGTGTTAACTGTGTCCCATGACCCTCATGTTGGAAATCATTCCCCATGGCTCTGGAGCCACATGTGAACTCCATGTGGGACGCCACCTTTGAGTGGGTGTGACTCTTGAGCCCTGCTTGCCTGCCTCTCCTCCTGTGCACACCTACCTCTGAATTTGGCCCTTGGTGTGTATTTGTGGTGGAGGCTCCAGTCTCTGTCAGGTTTTTCCAGACTTTGAGGAGGCAGGAATTCACCGAGGAATCACTCCAATGCACAGATCTATCCCTTTAGTAGCATGTAGAAAGCCCCAGAGTCATTGTGAAAAGCCGTTAGTCCATGGGAATATATCATAGGTCCAAGAGACCTAAAAGGAATTCTGCATCAGTCACAAAGATTCTCAATGACCCCTTCATCCTCAGCCCCTCAGTCCTAGATTAAGGCACCCTCTTCCCATTGGGCAGTGGCTGATTCTTATGTGTGGGTGCAGGCTCATAGGGATCATGCACTCAGGCTGCTCCTTGGGCCTAATCCTGAGTTTAAGCTCCCTTTGGGCTTCCTGGATTCCTGCAGTGCAGCATGTGCCCTCTCCTGCAGCTCACACTGTTCCTTCTTGGGTGGCATCCCCCCACCCCTCCAGTTGGAGGACAGTTGACAGCAGGAATAAGGGGCCAGTTCTCAGGCCAGCCAGGGCTCTATGGGAGTAGAGAAAGCCATTGTCTTCTTCCTGACCATCCCCCTAGCTAGATAGGGCTTTGGAGCAGGGTCTGCCTTCATTGCAAAAGTGCTGATCTGTGAAGTGGGGCTCCACATGTTTTATTCCTGGATGATGATGTTGAGTGTTTATAGTGTTTTGATGGTGTTACAGATTTCATGGAATTTAAGGCCAGAAGGGACCGTTATGATCATCTACTCTGTCCTCCAGCATAACACAGACCATCAAATTTGCCCCAGTGACTCCTGCATCTCACTGCAGTGCCTTTAGAAAATATCAGTCTAATATTCTTCACCTCTAGTTTCATTTTCTATTTCTCCCTCTTTTGGCCACCACTCTTTTCTCCTTTCTGGAAGAACAGAGAAGTTTCCTCTATATAGTGAATTCTTCCATAGAGTAATCACGGTTTTATTGTTAAGTGATGAGTTCCCTCACAGTGTGCCACATAGTTCAATACATTATGGTGGTTTTATTTCATTGCTTGACTGCATTATAAAATATTTAATTATATGTTTCTATGAGGGCTGTGGCAGTGGAAGGGGTTGGGCTCCACTTCACTCATAATTCTAGAAATCCCTTCACTTTTCCCACTTGAATATCAGCTCCTCTACAGGGCTTGACATCTCAGCCACTAGCCTTCTCCCCAGTGGAGGTCTCGATTGGACTATTTTTGCAGCTCCTTCACTGACGGTTATTACTGTAGAGTAAGCTGAGGTACTCCTTCCTAGAAGGTGGGCACAACTCTTCCGCAAGGCTGGCCCTGAGAAGTGATTGACAGGGAACAGGAATTGAACTCAAGTTGCAGAGGCAAATACCAAGAATGTTCTTTGACCAGTTCAAGCACACATGTTCCTGACTGCTTGTATCTTATATAAATAAAACAGACATCAGCAGGTATCTGCCAGATAAAATCACTCTGAGTTAGAAAATAGAGCGCTCTGGAGTTCTCATAGGAAGTTCCCTACAGTTCTGGAGGTTCCAGTTCATTCCAGCTCATTACGGAGAGAGACCCTAGCTGCCAAGTGGATCCAAACTCCCTAAAAGATTAGCAGTGGTGGGGAGGGAGTCTGACCAGCAGAAGTCCCAGTACAGGCCTGTTTTTCTGCTAGGTGGGAATAGAATCGGTGTTCCTGTGTTCTAGGTTTGGACGCAGGAGAGTCATCATAAAGAAGGGGCACTGTGGCAACAGTTTCTACTTCATCTACTTTGGTACTGTTGCCATTACTGAAGATGAGGATGGGAGCAGTGCCTTTACTGACCCAGATCCAACTTTGCTTCGGAAAGGTGCTGGATTTGGGGTGAGTGGTGTTTATAGTAAAACTTCTGTTAGTCTTAGGATGGAAGGGGAGCTGTATGCTTACTAAACAGTAAAATAAATAATCATGAGTTTTGGAAGGAAGGAAGATAAACCCTCATGCTTCAGCACTTATGCTATGCTAACTATTGGGGGCTAGGAGGAAACTTTCCCTGGGAGCAGGTTATCCCATGACCACCTTTTACAGGGTTTCCCCTGAAGAATCTGGTATTGGCTATTGTTGGTGACAGCGTACTAGGTTAGATGACTATATAATGTCTCCCAATAAGGTCAATATTTGGCATATAAAGTTGGAGGATGAACTCCCAGCCGTAACTCAGTTTTTCCTTTTTCTCTGTATATAGGAAGTTGCTCTTTTAAAGGACAGGCGGAGAATTGCAACAGTTGTCTGTATGGAGGAAACAGAACTATTGGTAGTGGATAAAGAGGACTTTTTTGCTAATAAATTAGATGAGGAGCTTCAGAAAGAATTTCAGTATCGTTTCAGCTTCTTCAAGTAATTTCTTCCACTGAGATCACTCCCTCCTGCCTCTGCCACTTCATTTTTACTTGCTGAATTGTTTGGCTATTCAAGTACAGTATGAGCTATTCTAATTCTACTAAAAAGTGCCCAAACAGTGTAGTAACCTCTATTCTATGCAAGATTTTACTGCCTTCACTGATTATGTTACTGGAAATGAAGTAGCAGTCATTCCAGAGGGACGTGGGTTAATGGATGCTGTTTCTTTGTGACTGTTACAGTTCTACAGCTTGATCTCATGTAGTACAGAGCCTTATATACAGTTGTACTGAAGGAATATTGTGATGTGTACAGTTTTCATTATACCTTGAAAGAAATGGGAAGGGAAAAACCATGTTTGCATTGTAATGAATGCATAGAGCACTAAAGTCTGCTGAAGTTCATGAACATAAGGATGTTTGTGCTTTTATTCCTTTCAAAAATATTATTCTGCTTTTTATATCCATGCTATAAACACTCTTAGAACAATCTAAGGCACGTTACTGGGGCTCCATGGTTACTGGGGCTCTAGGATGCGCAGGGGTCTGCCTGCATTGTGTAACTTACAGAATCAGGACCTAAGCCAGAAAAAGCACCTCCTTCCCATTAGTTGGAACACTAAAAAGATCACATTTTCCTCAGTGAAATAAGTTTTTCCTTGAGTCCTCTAGTTGGAATTAAGTGGTCATATGAAAAGATGTCTGCATTATTTCCTTTTCAGAGGTCTAGATCTCTTTGCAACGTGGCCTGATTACTCAGTAGAGAAAATTGCTAGTTACTGCAAAGCAGAGAAATTTCACTATGGACAAGTGATAGTCCGGGACATCCCGGAGTCAGCCAGCATAATATTCATTACTCAGGTATGATCCATCCATCCCAATACTGTTCATCTTGGGCCAGCAGCCTAAAACAGTGACCAGCAGCCATTACAGGTGAAAGTGGGGAATGAAGCACTTCTCCAGATACATCCCCTTGGTGATTTTTTTTTTTTTTTTCTGCTAATGGTGTCATGTCTTTATGTAGGGCCAGATTCTGATACCTTTGCTCACACTGTGTGGTACCTTACTCCGCTAGTAATCATACTGATTTTGTGCAGAGTAAGTTACTACTCAACGTGAATAAGGCTCTCAGAATCTGACCTGTCAACCACAAAACTCTTCACAGAAGGAAGTAGGGTATGTCTACACTGCAATTAAACAGCCCCTTAACTCAAGCCCATGTCAGCTGGCACGGGCCGGCTGTGGGTGTCTAACTGCAGTATAAATATACCCTAAATCTCCTGTAAGTTTTGTAAAGCACCTAGTTCATTTTCAGTGCTAAACAAATATTTATTAATGGTAGTTAACAAAACATGCTAGGAGGGAAAGAAAACTATATTGCCATGAATGCTGTACCTGTCCCTGTTCTTGAATCCATTCCAAAGTGAAGGAACATTTCTCTTGCCTCAATGGTAGCACTTGTTTGCACTAGAATATACTCTTGGGGGAGTTCTGCACCAAAAATTAAAAATTCTGTGAACAATATTTTAAAATTCTGCATATTTTATTTTTCAAAATAACACAATATAATCATGCCAGTTTCAATTATTTTGGTAATTTATTTCAAAATACCTGTCAGCAAGTACGTCTGTAACAATACAAACAACAAAAAAGATTCAGGAAATGTTTTTTGACAAATAGATTCCTTACTAGGCATATTAATGCAGAACTTTGAGTAATAATTCATTACTATAATTCAATTAATTATATTATTAATTACAATAATTATATTACAATAATTCAAACCCAGAACTGTATTTCCCACACGCCTCAGAAGCAGTGCAAAGGCTTGTGGGAGTCAGGGTAATGGAGGAGCTGAGGGAGAGGGAATTAATTGCTGGTAAGGAGCCTAGGAGTGAACGTGGAGGGTTGTTGGGTGTGTGTGGGAGAAGTATGGAACAGGGTTTGTTTGTTTTGGGGGGGGAGGCATTGTGGGGGGGATTGTTAGAGAGTTGTGGCGTTTCCCCCATGCAGACCCTGGCTGACTCCAGCCTCTCCCAGTCAGTCAGACACAGCTGCCCATGTGTCCCTGCACCTTCACTTAGCCACCTCCTGCCCCCATGTGGCCCTGCACTCCCACTCAGCCCACCCCTCCCGAGTCCCCATATCCCTGCACCCCCACTCAGCCATCCCCAATCCCCATATGGCCCAGCAACCCCACTCCCGTTCAGGCCCCGCTCCAGTCTGTCCCCCGCACTAGCCCTTCTGAACCCTAGTCTATGTGACCTCCCACCCCCACCCCAGCAGTCCCATGTACCTGGCTCTATCTGTCCCTACCCCATATACCATATATATCTGTGACTAGCTGAGCTGTCTGCCTTCTATTCTTGTGCCACAGCAGCTCCTGGTGGGCAAAAGGTGTAATTGAAGCACCTCTCCAGCAGAATTTTTTTTGTTTGTTTGTTTTTGGAGAGAAGAAAAATCTGCAGGGGATGTGAATTCTGCTCATGCACAGTGGTGCAGAATTCCCCCAGGAGTAAATATAGATGTCATTACCTTGGTACCAGAAAATTGGCTGAAAAAGAAATGCCTGAGATAGGTAGGCAGACAGAAACAAATTTAATTTAAAGGGAGGACACCATAGTTTCTTAAGGGAACAGGTCATGCAGAAAGTACCCTGCAAATTTTCAGGTGTAATACTGCAATGATCATCCATATTTCCTGATGGGTTACACTGGCTTTGTACACAGATAATACTACATATGAAACTATATATATATATAGTAACGGAATTTTAATGAAATTCAAATAATTTCTGCCAAGTTGCCTATGGAAAGTGAGTTTAAAATCCATGGAGATACTGAATTGCAATGTCATCCATTTATTATAACCCTTATTTTTTCCTAGTTACCTCTTCTTCCTTTTTGTCACTTTTTGATCCTCATTTATTGAGTCATGTCTGAATATACATTATAAGATTGCTGGGGGCAAGGATTGTTTTTCACTTGTTCCTGAGTGGTACCTAGCATACTTTTGGACTCTCTGAAATATTTAATAACAATGGCACAGCAGCTTGATAACACCAACTTAATGATGCCAATAAAATTGTGCAGAACAAAATGATATAGTGGTGGATGTTTTGCTCAATCACTGTGCTCAAATCCAGAATAAAAGACAATAATTGGTGTATTTTTCGCATTTATATGCAATAACCATTTTGATATGGTGTGGTTTGAATGATTGTTTTATTTTCAGTGTAAATATATTGTCACTTCGCAACAAACAATTATACAAAAATAATTTGGAAGGATATTCCAGGTCCCAAAGCCCTGATAGCCCTAATTCAATGGATTACTGCTGAACAGCTATATTATAAAGGTCTTATTTAAAGCCCATTGAAGTAGATGGAAAGATTCCCAGTAGTAAGAACCTTCTGACAGTGAGTGTTCTCTGCTTACACAAGTAGTTCTGCTGTCCTCAGTGGAACTGCTCGTTTGATTAAGAGGTTGCAGGAATGGTTCCTAATTTGCTTAGAGATTATTTGTTTGCTATATCCGAGATAATTTACAGTATGGACAGTACAATAATTTGTGTAGGAAAAAGACACCTCTCTAGAGATGGGATTATTGAATACTTCTGAGAGGCATTGTTATCTGATGGACTGAGGCCTTGTCTACACTTACCAGGGGTTCGATGCGTGGTGATTGATGCTTCGGCGGTTGATTTAGTGGGTCAAGTGAAGACCTGCTAAATCGACCGCAGATCACTCTCCTATTGACTCCTGTACTCCACCTGAACGAGAAGCACAAGGAGAGTCGATGGGAGAGTGTCTCCGGTCGACATTGTGTAGTGTGGACCCCACGGTAAATAGATCTAAGTATGTCAACTTCAGCTACGTTATTCATGTAGCTGAAGTTGCATAACTTAGATTGATCTCCCCCTGTAGTGTAGACAAGGCCTCAGTGTGGGCTGGGAACTAAGTTCTTATCCTGGCACTGTCAGTGAATTAATAGGTAACTTTTCCAAGGCCACATAGCTTTCCTGTGTCTCTGTTTCTCTATTTGTAAAATGAAAATAATGCTTATTTCTCTACCTACCGAGGAGGTATTGCAAGGATTTTATAAACAATTTGCACAGCCCTTTGAAGACCTAAAGTTCCACAAGTGTTAAGTATTATTACTGAATGGTAGTCCATGGCTAATATAATAATACCTAACTCTTAGTATTTTTCGCCCATAGATTGAAGTGCTCTAGAAGGTAGATATCATCTGCATTTTACAAGTGGGGAAATCAAGGCATTAGGAAGTCAGAGGCAGTGCTGCAGTATTAACTTTATTCTCCTCATCTGTTTTATTAGGGAAAATGTGAAGTTTTACGTCTGGTTGATCTCACCACTTGCCCATCCTATCACAAGTGGATCAGTCAGCAAATGGATTTTCCCAAACTCAGTCCTTATTACTCTATGGAGACTGGTATGTTACAGTGATTTCCAGACATACATAATTTGGAAAACTTCAGCGTTACCAGCCTATAGCATAGTTGTTAGTGACTCGTAACTTTGTGTTATTCTTATCTGTATTTTTTGTTATAACTTCATAGATTTTAAAGACAGAAGGGACCATCATTCTAGTCTGACTTCCTAGGCCAAGTTAGAACTCAGCAGTGGGGGAGAGAGAAGGGGGAGTCACAGATACTCACAAAACAGAACGTTGCCCTAACACTATGCTTTTCAGGGTTACAGACATAGGCGCCGGAGGACCCATGGGGAAAAAATAGTGGGTGCTCAGCAGCCTCGCAGATCAGTTTCTCCCCCTCCCTCTCAGCCCTCCCGCCCGCTGGTGGCCCCACCGATCAGCTCCTCCCACCGCCTGCGACCCACCGCAATCAGCTGTTCAGCAGCATGCAAGAAGCCTCGTGGGGTGAGGGGAAAGCAAGGGCAGGGCATGCTTGGGGGAGCGGGTGGAACAGGGTGGGAAGAGGCGGGGGTGGAGTGGGGATGGCAAGGGGTGGGGATGGGGCTTTGGGGGAAGGAGTGGAGTGGGGGCAGGGTCTGGGTCAGGACAGGGATTGAGCACCCCCGGGGAAATCAGGAAGCCAGTGCCTGTGGTTGCACATGCCTCCAAGGCACACAATACAATTGGTCAAAGCCTTGTTTTCTCAACTCCCAGTCTTGAAAATCTTATTTCTATTAGGAAAGAGATTTTTTTAAAAATCACACTGGTGCCTTTGCTGGGAAGTTGACAATTCACCCCGGTTTCGTTGGCCTCTAGTCCTGAAGCTCCACTGGTGAGCAGGATCTTATCACCATTTCATAATTAAATGGCATGCAAGGTCTCAATCCTGCAAAGACAGTTGTGCCCACACCATGTCCTATTACAGGGGTGGCCAACCTGTGGCTCCAGAGCTACAGGCGGCTCTTCAGAAGTTAATATGTGGCTCCTTGTATGGGGACCGACTCTGGGGCTGGAGCTACAGGTGCCAACTTTCCAATGTGCTGGGAGGGGCTCACTGCTCAACCCCTGGCTCTGCCACAGGCCCTGCCCCCGCTCCACCCCTTCTTGCCCCCTCCCCTGAGCCTCCTATGCCCTCGCTCCTCCCCCTCCCCCTCTGAGTCTCCTGCACGCCACGAAAGAGCTGATCGAGAGGTGTGGAGAGGGAGGGGGAGGTGCTGATCAGCGGGGCTGCCAGTGGGTGGGAGGCGCTGGGAGCGGGGGTGGAGGAGCTGATGCGGGGCTGCTGACGTATTACTGTGGCTCTATGGCAATGTATATTCGTAAATTTTGGCTCCTTCTCAGGCTCAGGTTGGTCACCCCTGTCCTATTAACTTCAGAAGAACTCCATGCAGGTATAAGGACCCATGCTGGTGGATCACCTCAGAATTAAATAATTTAGCTTTGACTAACTTTCATTTACTTTCTTTGCAGACACCACAGGCAGAAAAAGATTCAATAATTTTATGTGGAAGTCCTTTCCTGTGCAGGATCTGAGTAATCTGAAATCGATGTATGTCCCACCTTTAAATCCTCAGAAGGATGAAAATTTCGAAAGGCAATACCTGGCTTTAAATAGGAAATATAAAAATGCACACACAAAGCTGGAGAAAGAGGACAGAGGTGACAGTAGAAGGTAGGATGAGTTACGGGTCCCTCCATAGATTACTGATCCGGAGCAATAAGAGTAGAAGTCCCAGGCTTGGTTTCTACACCAGGACTTGAAATAAATAAAGTTATACTTCCCAAAGTATTTCTGAGACCCACTTCTCATCTCACTAATGGTTAGAGCTGGCTAAAGGTGCTTGAATGAAAAGTTTCTTTGGGGGAAAAAAGCGATTTTTTGAATTTTTTGTGTGTGAAAAATTTGTCAATTTTTTTTTCTTGATTTATGCATTTTTTGTGCTTTTTAAACTTTGGAAATGTTAATCTAAAACATTATCAAAATTATTACAATTTTTTTATTTACTGCAACAAAAATATCAATGTTTTTATGATAAAAATATTGGGGGCAATTGAGAAATTAAAAAAAGAAAGATGATTCAATTCTGAAGGCTTCAAAATGAGAACTTCAAAATTTATCACAAACATAGATTTTAATTTTTCGATCAGTTCTGCTTATGGTGGTGCAAATAGCAGCAATTCCACTGAAGTGAATGAAATTACTTTGATGTAAAATGAGATGAAAATCAGGCCCAATGTTGCAAGCACAGAACAGCTTTTACAAAGAAAAAAATCACCTCCTTATTATATCATGACTACAGTGTGTTTCATTGTAAGAAGACTGGTACAAAAAACTTAGAGTTTGAGACATATATGTGAACAAGTTATGCAGAGAAAAGGGAAATAATTACCGTAGTTTCTTTTCATACATGTTGAATGTGGTGGTGAGACATCCAGGAGATAGACAGGTGGAGATCACTGATGGCGCTGAAGGGAGAAAGTTGGGGATAGAGAGATAGATTAGGGTGTCATCAGCATAGAGGTAGCAGTTAAAGCTATGTGAGTGAATGAGGTCACCCATAGAGAGAGTCTAGAACAACCTGCAGCCATCAGGGTAATCCGCTGGTGGGCCGCCAGACAGTTTGTTTACATTTGCATGGCTGCCCACAGCTCCTAGTGGTCACGGTTTGCTGTTCTCGGCCAATGGGAGCTGGGGTAAGCGGCAGCCAGCATACCCCTGTGGCCCGTGCCACTTCCCGGTGCTCCCATTGGCTGGGAATGGCGAGCCATGGCCACTGGGAGCTGCGGGAGGCCGTGCAAATCTAAACAAACTGTCTGGCGGCCTGCCAGCGGATTACCCTGATGGGCTGTGTGCGGCCCCTGGGCTGCAGGTTGCCCACCACTGGTCTACAATGAGAAGAGGGAGTGCAGGGCACTTGGGGACTCAAACAGGGAAAGGGAGGAAGGGGGTGGGGCCTCCAAAAAGTTTCTCCAGGGATAGTTATAAGGGTAAGAAGAAAAGCAAGAATGTACTGAGCTAGAGACACCTTAGAAGAAGAGGTTATGAAGGAGGAGGAACTCATCTGTGTCAAAGGTAGCAGAGAAATCAAAGAGAATGAGGACAGAAAAGAGGCTAATATATTTGAATGTATTAAATGACAAAGTTGTTTAAATTCTATTCATGTTGGTTTGTTAGATGTGAAAAACAATTGCCTTGCTTGAGGTAGTGTCACAATAAATACCTGTAAAGGATGGTTCAAAATAAGTTAACATTTTTGTAGATATGATGACTTCAGTGATGATGAGAAAGAAGTCGTTCAGAAAGAAATATCAGGGTTGTTCCGGAAGAAACTAACTGTTCTCACACCATATGGAGAAATACCCACTGCTGTTGCCACAGCAATTTATACTAGGGTCGATGAAGTGCATAAAGGGGAACTCCTGGTGAGTACATCCAGAAGGGCAAGCTGCTGTTATAAGTTTGTATCTTATCTAGTAGCAAAAATTCTTCCGACCTCACAGTCACACAAACCCTGAAAGGCTACACATTCCTGTTCCTCCAAATGTTATGAAGTAGAGAACTTGTGCAAATCAGCTCTTTGTGTCCCACGGTCCATATATTTAGTAATCAGTCCTGTAGTAGAGGACTTCTTTGTGGAGGAGATGACGTGGAATGCTTTGAGAAATTCTACCCCTGCTGAAGGGAACAGATTGCCCCAAAGAATCATATGTACTCTCCAAGTCTGTGGATCACAGAAAACCCTCAACATTTCCAAGGCTGGCTGCCGTAGAAGCTATTTCCTGTTAACTCAAGTCTATGGGGTTATTACCTTACATAAGAGCTGACATACGGTAAGTGTTGTCATATTACTTCTTACTGCTAGTGCAGAGTGAGGGATGATGCCAGATGACCTCATGGAGGAAAGTTTCTGCATATCCACAAACTCTGGGCTGTTGTGTTCCACTTATTAAAGTAGCCAGGGAGGAGACATACCTGGACTCTGTGATCTTTGCTTGCCTTGGTTATCCCCTAAAAATTCTCTGCTGATGGAGATCCTATGGAGTCCAAACAGAAACTTATATCTGCTTCCCCCCTGACAAAAACCATGAGGGAAAGCAGCCAGTGATAGCACCAATTGCCCTTCCTCAAGATGAATTTCCTCTGGTGTCCAGGTTGGTGTAGGGATGCGGTAATTGAGACCTTTCTACGCTTGCTTGGGTGACTCCTCTATACAATGTTTATACAGTAGCAAAATCTTCTTCAAAATCTAGAAAATGTCACTAATAGCTATAAAGAATTTCCAAAATGACAAATTCTCAAACTACTTCCTAAATGATTTTTTTTTAAAGTTTACTGTCAAATTCTGCATGACTCAACATAAACAAGAGCAATATTCAGATATATGTGTACCAGTACACCAATCCAGAGTACATGGTGATGTGCAGATAGCTTTCTATTGTTTTGTTTACCCCTCAGGGGATAAGCCAGCATCTTCTACCTGAAGATAAGCAAGATAATCGGAGCATGGTTTTGGTCAGTCAGGGAGCTCAGATCATTCGGTTGAAAAAGGAGAAGTTTGAGGAATTAGCAGATCATACAACAATAATGAAATTACACAAATTACAGCCGAAATATCCCAGGTAAGTGAAATTAATGTGTCTGGGGAGAGACAGTACCCATGAACTAGTGCTCAACAAAATATAAAAGCTTGTTGGCTGTCATTTACCCAAACTCATTCTCACTTAATTAGAATTCAAGGGTGAAATTTGGGCTCTAATGAAATCAATGGGAGTTTTATCACTGATTGAAATGGAGCCAGGCTTTCATCAAGTATCTTTTATCCTTTGCAGTGATGATGAGCTGTGTCAAAGCTTTCTGGAACAGAACCACTGGAAAATATTCAAGAAAGATCTGATGAATCTTTTCCTGGAGCGAAAACTCATGATGATGGCGGCAAGTTCTCAGCAGGTGAAGCCCAAGAAAGATATTTATAACTCCTGGAGTGTGAATCAAGCAGGTATTCTAGACCTGACCACTACCCACCATCATCTTCCAACAGGCATTCAAGGACTACAGCGCAGATATGTCCCTGTCCACATAAGACAGGGAAAGGATTCGGAGGGCCTGCCAAATATTGAGCTAAGATTGATTCATGGCATTGCTGTACCACGGCCTACTTTGAAAGGATTGTTTTAGTGAGTTTGAGGAAATTAGGCCGGCAGGTTTAACAGCACAGATGCAGCTTGAGAAGCCAAAAAGTGAAACCGCGAATTTTTTAGTTGAATGTTACAAAAATACGTGAATTTTAAATAAAAGTAATTTTCCCCAATTTCTAAGTAACAATTAAATGTTCCTGCCCAGATTTCTGCTGTGAACGCTGAAGTAAACTTATTTTTCACTGTGGTAATCTGCATTTCTATTAGCTTTGAGAAGGAAACCTGTTTTCACCATTTTGTTTTTCTCTGCAAGATGGATATTTTTATATAAGGTTAAGATTTTCTGTTATTTATATTTGATCCTAAGATACCTTCACATTCTAAACAACATATTTAATACAAATAGAAATTGAACAAAGATTTTAACACCTCTCTGAGTTCAGTTGATCAGGAAGCCATGTGAAGTTTAAAGTGCTCATTGGCTGCTGCTGTAGTTTTTGTTGTGCTTCACTATGCTTGGGAGGTTGATAATATGGCTTAAAGTTTAGACTGTTGAAATGTGCTTCACGCAGTTTTACATGTTTTTCAACACTGCAGATGAAATTTTAAATTAAAGTTTTCAATTAAATAAAAATTAATTAAAACGTTTCTATTCATACTTTTAAAAATCTTAATGTGATCATTATTATAAAGAGTTAGATTTTAGAAATATATTAACAGACTGAAAAGATGTGCTCTTTCCCCATGTCTTCCCTCTCAAAAGCAGTTTTGAGAACTATTCGCCATTTATGTCAGGCTTGCACCAGCAAAATATATTTCTGGTACCTTAGTCAACATAAAACAGATTGAGGCCCTGATCCTGCAAAGATTTACAGATGTGTTAACTTTACCCAATGTGAATAGTCCTAATTAAGTCAACATGACATTTCACAGTGCAAAAGGTTAAGCATATAAATAAATCTATGCAGGATTGGGGCCTAAGCTGTATCAGTATTTTTCTTTGTGCTAGCTATATAATGTACTGTATGAAAACACATGTATGCTAAGGCTGAAAATGATCAAATAGTATTTTTATCTCAGAGGATGTGAATAAGTTAGTAAGACAAGATATGGTTTTAAAGAAAGAATATCCACTTAAATGTATTTGTACAAAGGTTAGATTTCCAAGAGAATTAGTCAGAAATGTCGGAAACCCTATCTTTTGTCATTAACGATTTAAAAAAAAGTATGAAAAAGGTAAAATGTGAGATGAAGGCGCATGCTGATCTCTCAAAAGGAAAACAGTTTGAAGAGCTGATGATTCATTGAGTCTGATCTTGTCATTTATGTCAGGTTTCAGAGTAGCAGCCGTGTTAGTCTGTATTTGCAAAAAGAAAAGGAGTACTTGTGGCACCTTAGAGACTAACCAATTTATTTGAGCATAAGCTTTTGTGAGCTACAGCTCACTTCATCGTATGCATTCAGTGGAAAATACAGTGGGGAGATATATATACATAGAGAACATGAAACAATGGGTGTTATCCCCCCACCCCCGCTCTCCTGCTGGTAATAGCTCACCTTAAGTGATCACTCTCCTTAAAGTGTGTATGGTTTCAGAGTAACAGCCGTGTTAGTCTGTATTCGCAAAAAGAAAAGGAGTACTTGTGGCACCTTAGAGACTAGAATTAATAAATAAATTGGTTAGTCTCTAAGGTGCCACAAGTACTCTTTTTCTTTTAGTGTGTATGTTAACACCCATTGTTTCATGTTTTCTGTGTATATAAATCTCCCCACTATCCCCCCCTTCAGTGTGCTACTGTGTACCTGTCATGGAATCTAGAAGGTTGGGGTTGGAAGGGACCTCAGGAGATCATCTAGTCCAACCCCCTGCTTGAAGCAGGACCAATCCCCAATTTTTGCCCCAGATCCCTAAATGGCCCCCTCAAGGATTGAACTCACAACCCTGGGTTTAGCAGGCCAATGCTCAAACCATTGAGCTATGCTAAGTGATCACTCTTCTTACAGTGTATATGGTAATACCCATTGTTTCATGTTCTCTATGTATATAAATCTCCCCACTGTATTTCCCCCCCATCCCCCCGCTCTTCTGCTGGTAATAGCTCACCTTAAGTGATCACTCTCTTTACAGTGTGTATGGTAACACCCATTGTTTCATGTTCTCTATGTATATAAATCTCCCCACTGTATTTTCCCCTGAATGCATCCGATGAAGTGAGCTGTAGCTCATGAAAGCTTATGCTCAAATAAATTTGTTAGTCTCTAAGGTGCCACAAGTACTCCTTTTCTTTTTGTAATGTATGTGTATCTGTTACTTCTGTGGAAGTTGCATGCATGAGGACTTTAGGACTGTACCTTTGGTTAGGACACCTATAGGAATACATATTGTAAGTGGCTACATAAAAACAAATCATACTGAAAATGGGAGTGGGGAGCCTGGAAGATGGATTGGAAAACATAGCTTCTGTCTGTTCCAACAGGTTGTATATTTCATGGACTGAAATGTCACTTATTGAAGGATATTAATCATGATGAATGCAGTATGGTGTAAATTTTTGATGTAGGTTTTAGAGTTCTCCACATGTTAGCTGACCCAGTTTTGTGCATGAGCAATTAATATATTTCTGACATGCTATTGTCTGAGGAAAACTAATCCTGAGAGATATCAACTTAAAAACATCCAGTAGAGCACTGAAGTCTCTTGTACCTTGAATCATCATAACAATAAAGAAAATTAAAATGAGGCAACAGAGAATTTACTGACAGGAGCATATGAACAGAGATGAGATACTGGAAGAAATTGTGGGCCTGATTTCCAGAAATACTGGGCAGTTGTAATGGATATTCTTTAAAAACAAAAAAAAAAAAAAAAGAAACCACACCAAACTTGTCTAACTTGTTCATAGTATGAATCCAGGTGATTCTTTGATAAATAACTATTGGATCATTTTCATTCTAAATTACATATGTATTTTCATACACAGTCTTCTACTGCTAACTCATAAATATTCCATCAGCTCAGTTCCCAATAGTTCAGTTATCTAGTGCAGTTACAGGCCAGGCTACTGGTTGGTAATAAACCTAAAGTATTTAAAATATGATGATTTTTTGCTCATGTGCAATGAAGTGTTGGTTTCAGGTTTGATATCCCTGTTTGCAATCTCATCAGGTAACACACAGACCTGAATATGTAAATGCGTTCTCACTACTATAGGAAGTTGGCAGAACAAGGTTGTCACAACTGATAGGAAATGTGGGAACGTATATGCTTCATTTTTTCTTGCTGTATTTGTTCTGTGGATCAATAGCATATTTTGTACTGGATAACTCAGCTGAAAACCTAGTATACAAAAGTATAAAAAACAATGATTAGTATAGAGAAGGTAAATTGAGTAATCCTGTGTGTCATTGTTGACAGCAACAATTTTAAAACTGTAAAAAGGAAATACTTTTTGACACCGAGCATAATTAAGCTGAAAAACTCATGGCCTCAAGGTGGTATTGAGGCCAAGAACTTAATAGGATTCTAAATAAAATTAGTCATATGGAGAATTAGAACACAATAATAGTAGATATTATTTTTTTTATATACAAGGGATATAAACCCTCATGCTTCAGGGCATAAGCCATCCACTAACTGATGGAAATTAGGAAGAAACTTTGTTTACAGGCAAGTTATTCCATAATTTTTCCTTGAGAGGGGAGTGGTGAAAGGATTTGCAGTTTAATCCAGAGTATCTGGTACTGGCAACTATCAAAGACAGCTTGCTGGTAGATGGACCACTGTTCTGGTCTGATCTGGTATGGTAATTCTTTTGTATGTTCAAGTGATGCCAATATGAACACTAATGTTTACTCAAGACTGAAGCAACCCATTTCATGCAAAAAAATAAAATCAGTTCTTGAAAAGCTGTTGAAAAGTCTCTCTGCAAATATTTTAAAACATTTCTTTCCTTGTTGTTATGAAACTGTCAGTAGGAAAACACCAGATATTGGTTTCTTTTGGATTTATTTGTTCTTGCTGATTATTCACAGCTTGAAAGCCTAATCCTTTGTTTGCAACATCATAATCATTTACACACAACCAATCATGTCACAATGGATTATGAGTCCAGGATGGGAATTAGTACAGTTAATGAGGCATCAAAACCCTTAAAGATGGACTCCAACTGCTTATACCACTTTTGTTTGAGTGGCAAATTGAATGAATAACCAGTTTTTAAAGAAATGTGTATATATATTAGTGGGTCTTTGGCCCCTATATTTCCTCCCTTCGCCATGCTCTATACCCTGCTGAGAGCTTATTGTTATACCATCATCAGGAATCAGGCAGCAGACAGTGCCCGAGGGTGCAGCTGTCTGGCAAACAACAGCTATGTAAACAATACAGTATTGGTGCGGGAAGGAGTCCCCACCCCCACATCCAGCAGGTGCAAGAGAACAAGTCCTGAGGGGAGGAGGTGGAAGGGAGTTATACAGGCCCTACACTTTTTCCTCTCCCTCATCATAGCAGATGAAAGGGCTTCTAGGAGGGCTAGGGCGTGCTCTATAAGTAGCAACAGGAGGAAGTGGGAGCTCAGCACTAACAGCTGACTGAACTCCCCAGCATTGCCCAGCTGCCCTTGTATGTGATTTGGAGTAGAGAAGTTCTTTCCCAACCCCTTCTTCAGACTGCTTGGATGGGATATGTCTTCATCCATCCTCTTCTCTCTCCTGCTCAGCCAGCTGCCTTCATTTTGCGGGGGCTGCTGCTTAGTTCTTAGGCTACCAGTTTTTTAAAGGGTGTGTGTGTGTGTGTGAGGTTGAGCAAATGTCCCCTTCCTCACTGATATTAGTAGCAGTTCTTTCTAAACCGTTTGTGCAAGCCTCAGGCAGCTTCTGCCACCCTCTGCTGATGAGAGAAATAGCAAATCTCAGTGGGGGGCAGAGCCTATGGTGACTTCAAAAATCCTAAATTATATATTTTTTAAAAGATCAAAATTAGTCATTTCTCGGTACCACTCATTTTAAACAAGTTTGCACAAAACCATTCCAACCATTCTGTGAGAAGCAAAGATCTTGTTTTCATGTGAATGTTCTTAAAATAAAGTAAAAGGAAAAATACACTTGGATATGTTAAAGAAATAGACTTTCTTAAAACTATGTATTCTATGAAGCACCACCAACTCAATAGATTTGTGATTAAAGACTTTGTAACATTCAGTTTAGCTGTTGGCTCTATCTTATCTTGCTTGTTTTATGTTAAACAGTTAATCAAGCTTATGCTCAAATAAATTGGTTAGTCTCTAAGGTGCCACAAATACTCCTTTTCTTTTTAGTTAATCATTGAGATCTGCAGTGTGAATGAGTCATAAACTCAGTAATATTATAAACAAGTTTATCATATTTTTGACTAGAGAATACTAGATGATGAATTTGGTAGCAGAACTGCAGACAATTTGATATATACGTTTTCCATAGTTTATTTTCTGATTAAATATTTTTATTGGATTTTAAATAGATATACAATCCATAGGTCGCTGCAATATACTCTCTAAAGTCCTGACCCTCTCCTAATAAAGTCAGAGAGTTTTGCCATTGACTTCAATTAATACGGGATCAGATCCTGACAGAGGTTCATGAACAGCAGCTGCCTGTGTTGGTTCCTACTTATTTCTGTTGCGGACTACACTAAAAGACCTTAAAATAAATTTAAATATCCCCCTTTCTATGTAAGCAATTGCTTTAGTTGCTACAGAGGTGTTTTGATCATAAATTGGAAGGAAGGTGTTCCACAGAGTCAGAAATGAGAGGTGGTTCAGAAGATGTCTGTATTAAAATGTGATCCGTATTTAAAGGTTTTTGAAAAACCCTGCATCATGTCGTAACAGAACTGAGGTATATATGTGAAAGAAAAGAAGTAAATATAGTAAACGTGGAAACATAATGAAAAAAAATAAAGTAACATGGCATGTACTCCAGACAAAAAAATCCAAACACAAAAATAGTCTAACTTGTCCCAGTGAACTGAAATAAATTATTTCTGAGGAATGCCTTAAGTATCACAGTGTTTTTATGTGGAAAATTAATTGAAATTTTTGCTGGGTGAACTCTGCAACCCTTTGTCCTTGAGTTTTGTGTGGGGAGAGTAGCAGTGCAAACAAATTGGAAGGGAAAAAAATTAGATGTATACTGATAGATATTACAAATAAGCTAAAAGAAAAGGAGTACTTTCTTTTTGCGAATACAGACTAACACGGCTGTTACTCTGAAACCTACAAATAAGCTGTCAGTTTTCTTATGACAGGGATATAAAGTAAGTCGTCCCATTCATTCTGAAATGAGTGATTTGATCCCATAATGCTGTTGAATGTGTTAAACTATCTAGCTCTTGTAATATTTGCAAACCAGTTAAGTTACTTTTATAAAACATATATAAAACCTATTTGTTACTTTAAAAAATTATAAAAATTGTTTTACTTTTATTACTTCTGCCAATAAAAATTAACATGCAAAAAATTAATTAAATGACAAATCTGTAATAATGAAACAAAATCATAAAATGTAAACAAAGGGAAAAGAAATACAAAAGGTAAGGTAGCCTGTGGAGTCTCACTGTAATATAACCTTTATTTGGCAAAGTTTTATTTTGAAGTGCAAATATTTGATACAAATAGCCTTTATTTAAACAGGAAGGTTCCCATCCTGCAAACATTTATGTATCTGCTTAACTTTATGCACCTGAGCATATCCATTGTTTCCTGGATTGGGACCTGACTGTTAATCGGTAAATGGGAATACCATGTAGTGACAGGATAATTAAACAAATTACAATGCACTAAAATAACAACTTGGTTATTTCTGTGTTTTAAAGGAGAGTATGTCACAGGGGCTTTTGCTGTAATATATAACAATGTAAACCATGGCATTATCAAATAAACTCTCGAAACAATAGTTGGATTAGAGCAAAGACTGTAAAGAAAAGTCTTATTTCCTTTTTGAAACTTTTGGTAGTTTTGCTTTAACATGGTTGATACCACAAGACCGATATTTTGAGAACAGGCATGAGAAAGAGCAAAAGGAAGTAGGTGAAAGTCTTATGGGCTAAAAAAGAACTATTGGAAGAACCAAAACCCATTCTAAATGCAGACTAAGCTACTTTCAAAGGGCAACAGATTATATGACCTGCAGATGATAGGAGATTACTGGTGTTTCATATATAAAGGAAAAATTTCAAATAAGACTAAAAGTAGAAAAGGGGTAAGAATATTTAATTGATAATGGCCAATATGCCCCAAACCAATCTTCGGAGAGACTGCTTAAGACATGGGCACTTATGTTTTTTATTACTGTTGTAGTCCATAGTCTGGAATCCTGGACCTGTATACAGTCTGAGAGCAGGATTTTTCTGGTATTGATGTGTATATGTGATTAAAAAGATTATTTGGATTCTCTGCATCGCCAATATTTTATGGTCCTGTTCATGGAGAGCTCAAGGTAGTGCATACAGTACTTGTTTCATGTCATAAATTAACCACTTTATTTCAAATGATGTATAAAACACTTGCTACCGTTGGTATCTTTTCCTCCATATAGCTAAGTATTGTACAGTCAAAGCGCTGTTATCCATAAGCTAGCACTTTACCAGCCCGAAAGCTCTAGAAACCGGCATTTCTGATCGCTCCCACTACGAAACATGATTTTGGTAATTAATTGATCTTTAACTATTCATGGTAAATAGGCCTAATGGCCTGTGATGGGATGTTAGATGGGGTGGGATCTGAGTTACTACAAAAAATTCTTTCCTGGGTATATTTGGGGCCATATTTGGGGTTGGGAAGGAATTTTCCTCCACGGCAGATTGGCAGAGGCCCTGGAGGTTTTTCGCGTCCCCTGTAACATGGGCCACGGGTCGCTTGCTGGAGAATTCTCTGCTCCTTTAAGTCTTTAAACCACAATTTGAGGACTTCAATAGCTCAGACCCAGGTGAGAAGTTTTTCGCAGGAGTGGGTGGGTGAGATTCTGTGGCCTGCATTGTGCAGGAGGTCGGACTGGATGATCACAATGGTCCCTTTGGACCTTAATATCTATGACTCTGCATAGGGTTGCCAGGTGTCTGCTTTTCGACTGGCACGCCCGCTCGGAAAGAAACCCCGGCGGCTCCGGCCAGCCCCCTTAGCCCCTCTCCCACCCCGCTGTGCCTGCTGCGTGTTCGTTATGTGCTGCCGGGGAACACCCAGGCTAAGGGCCAGCGTGCTGGCTGCCTCGATGGGACGGCTCCCTGGGACAGGCCCTTCCCTCTGGGAGACCGCCCTGACGCCCTGCCCGCCCGCGGAGCACATTCCTGCCAGCAGTCAAGATGGCGGCGGCGTCTCCTCCCGCCTGCGCCCCCACGAGCCCGGCGGGGCGGGAGCCGGCTGCGCTGGAATGTGGGCGGGGCGGTGAGGCCGGGCCCAGCCTCCTCCCTGCGCCCAGCCGAGCTGTGTCGGGCAGCGGCTTTAGCGGCTGCGCGCTGAGAGGAGCCGCTCCCAGGCTGGCCGCCCCCTGCGCCCGGGGTAAGCTACCGGGGTGGGGAGGAGAAGGGCCCGGCGGAGCCTAGGCGTGAGAGCCGGGGGGGCTGACAGGCCGGAGGGGCGGATGGAAAGAGGAGGCGAGTGTCGGAGGGAGTCGGTCCCTCGCCCCCAGAGATCGCTGCCCCGGGGACACGGTGCGGGGAGTGGGGCTAGAGGCATTCAGAGCAGGGGGTCACCAGACATGGGGAGGGGGAGAGCGACGGGGAAGGAGGACGGGAGGGAGCCTGACAGAGAGCGGGCATGATGGCACGGGTGGGAACTGCCAGAGGGGGAGGAAGCAGAGATTGGTATTTGTGGCAAGGTCTCTGCCAGCTTGTCCTTTATCTGCTCTTATTAATTTGTAATTCTCTGAAGTCTGTTCTTACCTTTGCAGCTGCGGTTTGAGGGGGAAACTCTTGGGCTGTGTGTGGCTACACTAGGAAGCAGTGCTGTGTTTTGGCCCTTAGACCTGGGAGCTGCAGGTTTCCTTCTTAATTTGCGTCTTTCAGGAGAGAGCCTGACTTTGGGCATAGGGAGGGAAGGTTTTAACTTACTGATGTTCTGCCTTCTGGTTGCCTGTGTATTCTCAGGGAATAGAGGAAAAAAAAAAACATAAAGTAGGCAACAAACTATTATTATTAATTTGTAAACTTAATATAGAAGTTTAATTTAACTTTTAGGATGATGGGAGGATTATAATAACTTGGAGTCTAGAAATAAGATGCACAGCATATACGATTTGTGTTTGGTTTTTTGTTTCATAATTTATTTATTTCTTTTCTGCAGGTCAATTATCCACATTAATATTGTTCGGCTTTTTTTTTTGTCTCTACACCTCCAAGACTATTGTACTCTCTGCCGTGTAGCTTTATCCTGTTTTTTTCCTGTTTAACTCAGCTGCAAAACACAAGATCATGAAGGCTGTAAACCAAGTGGTTCCTTGTTAGAGATAATGTTACTGATAAGAGAAATAGAGATTGTTTCTACCTAGTTCTTGAGGTCTCCAGGGTTGTTTAAATATGGATTTATCTCCCACAACATAAGCTTGAAAGGTTTATTTTGACTCTCAGAGGTTAATACTGAAGTGCCATTGATGAAGAGGAGCTACTTGACAGTTGCCTTTGAGGGGTTGAATTGTGCAGCATCTTTTACGCAGGAGGTACACTGGAGACCCATTTGTTTTCATCCTTGACATTGTTTCCACCTGGGTTATGGCAGAATTCTGATACAAAAGCAAAAACACATGGGAGGAACAATTTGGAATATAAAGTGAGCATGGTAGGATCTTGAACACAAATTGTTGGAAAAGGAGAGAAGAGGAAGTGAAGGAATGGCATCCAGAGAAAGGCTGTATGAACTTTGGATGCTTTATTGTAACAAGGTAACTATTTTCTCATTTTTCTTTTTTTAGAAACTTTCTTTGCACACCTCAATAGCAGGAGGTATTAGTTTGCTTTGTTGTCCCATGAATGTTTATTTAATAGTTCTATGTGGATTCCAAAACAATTATATAACTCACCAAAAATTAAGATAAAATTATTTGTGACTTTAAATTTTCTTTTCTTTTTTCTGTTTAATATATACTACACAAAACCTAACCCAAACAAACCCTGCATTAAAAGAACATTATTAAGGTTGCAAAGTCTAGCACTCAATTTTAGTTCCGGCAATTTTAACTTTTATCTGTGCAACCTTAATTTGGCACAATTCTGTATATTCAATATTATAGTCTCTATCCTATGATCACATAGTATTTCTTCCACAGGAGTTGTTTCATTCTGTGCACAGGATGGATGGTTCCTACTTAATTAGCAGCTATGCAATATTTTGTTTTCTTCTCATTGTTCATCATGTGGCCCTAGGCCTCATTTACTTCTTGAAACCTTGATCTGAAGATAGAAAAGCCAGTGGTGCTCATCACTACAGTATCTAAGTGCTTCAAAAACATTAATGAATTTATTTTCAAAGCATCCTTGTGAAGTGAAGTGATAGTAGTGTTATCCCCATTATACTGACCATTATATAGTGCTTCGTATGTTCAAAGCACAGTTCTTGTTGACTTCAGTGGCAGCTGGGAGTGCACATCATTTCTGCAAATCAGAAGTTTCCACACAGGCGCACAGAGTAATTTTAAATGGGAAACATCTGAAAACATTAACATTGTCTATGAAGTGGTGAGGAATGGAGAGGGTGCACAGGCTGCACCACTGCCTATAGGATTGGTAGGTAATCAAGCTAAATTTCAGTGGTGAAGCTCCTACAAAGTTGGTCATGCCAGAGCACAGGACAAAGCTCATGGCAAAGATTTTAATGGGATGTGATCTGACTACATTTAAGGGCTTTAAAAACGGAGAGGGTCACCTTAAAAATCCTTTTGCCGTGTTATAGACAAGTAGGATAAAGAATGTAGGGTGGCAAACTATGGTCACAGCCATGCAGCCCAGTGCTCCGGCATTCTGTAACCAGTAGAGAAGCCTTTCCCCAATTAATTAAGTAATATAGTTCTGCCCAAGGAGGTTTCACTGTGTTTATTCTGAGCTTTCTTGCATTGTCTTTTCCCTTGTATAGACTCACATTTTCCCTTAATCTTTAGCCTGGTAGGTCAGTCACTGACTTGAAGGCAACATTGTCGTCTGTCAGCCAGCTATTAGGGATATGTCTACACCACGATCTTGAGGTGTGACTTTAGCTCGGGCAGACATATCTGCACTAGCAAGGGTAAAAATAGCAGTGTAGATGGCCACAGGCATCACAGGCTTCAAGGTCGGCAATACAAGCATGAGTGACAGATATTGGGTACATACTTTTCCAAGAGACTGAGTGCTACCTTTGTATTATTTCAATCTATAAAGACCCTGCATATTGAGAATCTTAAGGCCATCCTAAAATTCTGATCTGCCGGTAACAGTGACAGGTGAGACTGCTGACCTCTTGGGCTTTTCCTTTATTTAAAAAAAAAAAAAAAAAAATAGGTTGTGCATAAACAGTCATTTAAAAAAACCTGATGCTTGTGAGCACTAGATTTCTGCTTTATTTTCATAGAGTCCATCTGCATTACAATAACAATGCTAGTATACCGTGTTCCCTCTGTCTTGGTTAGCGATGTCTGTGCTGTAACATGTTTTTTCTATTATTGTTATAGTGCGTGTAAAGGGAATTGTAGATCTAAAATTTTACTGGTGTTTAAGCCTCGGGCCTGGACAGAAAGGTGTGGACTGATGACTGTTTTAATAAATGGTGAGTTAGTCTTAAAAAAAAAAAAGCTAAAACACCATTATTTAAAAGCGTTCTTTTTCTCTGAATTGGAGGAATCCCCAGCAAAGGAGACCTGGCAAATTTCTGTCCCTTTTGCACAGTCTGTATGGAACAAAGGAGTGGATTTGGATAAGAAAATATGGCCCTAAGTGCCCATGGGGCACCAGTACAACAGTTCTCTACATAATCTAGTTATCACACCTCTGCTCCCACTGTTTAGGTATGGATCCTCAAATGCTGAGGTTAATGTGCTAACTCTTTTATATGCAGTACTTGCTTCTAGTACTTCATTCTTATGGGGTTGTCTCCCAATTAAATGCTCTTCAGACCTCAGAGTAATGTCTATGATAAATTCAATTAATTTGACTATTTCATCTGCTTATGGAAAAATAGAGGACTTGAGTATTCAGAGCTGTCAGTCTGGCAGTTTTCTCAAGGACTAAATAATTCATTTAAACAACCCTCTGTGCCCAGTGCTATAGCTAAATCTTTGTAGAATGAGTCCAGGTTAGATGCCACATTTGTAAACAAGCTGTCTTCATCCATTGGCACTCTTCTTGTCTCTTATCCTCATTATTATGGGAAATTAAAATGAACTTGACCTTGAGCTGAGGAAGTAACCCAACATGTCTTCTGCTTCTTTCATGGATATTTTCAGTGAAGGTTCCTTAGGGAAGATAATGTAGTTGTTGCCTATCTTATTTGGAGGCAAATATAATATGACTTCTGTCTGTTTCTGTAAATTGATTCTGAGCAAAACTTTTCATGCCACTTTTGCCTGCTTACTTTCAGAAGTCACCATCTGCCACTGGACATTTTAAAACAATCTACTGTCTCAGCAATCTGTACCAAAAGACAATGGAATGTTCTGTAACTGACCTCCATATGAAATGTCCCAATGCAAAGGTGAGAGTTAGTGTACCTAACTCTCAGATAACTAATTCCGACCGTTAAACTTATAAACCCTTCTTTATATAAAACAATGATAAATTTTTGTGTAAAGTCTTATATGTATATGTCTGTATAAAATATAGTGTGTTTGTAAACGGAATAAATGGATTTGTGATCAGACCAGCCTTTCGTATTGTGAGGCCAGGTTGAACCACGTAATTGAAATTGGTCTGAATGAATCAATGATATTGTAGTTCCGTTTCTAAAACAAACTTGGCTCTTGCAAAATTATATTGTTTAGTTGTGGTAAGAGGTATGCAATTTAACCAGAATATAACCTTTTTTGACATTCAACTTTAATACTTGTGAAACACACTCCCCCCGCATATCAGCCTCACTTTAACTTGCACGGGTCTTCCTTGTTGCGTAATTGCTGATTTGACAACGTGATTTGTCGCAAAATACTATATAAAAGAAATAATTTGATGTCAAATAAATAAGCATTCTACATACAGTCTGTGTATAAAGTAACAAAAACTAAATATTTAATTACTTAAAATAGTTGTATATTAGACTAGACTTTCTTGCCTCTACCTATATTCTTGGAGGATTTTGATTTATTTAAAGCAACAGAAGTATAAATGAACTATTTAAAAAAAAAATCAGCTTTCTCACAATTCATTTAATTAGAGGTGATATATCATAGACTTTAAGGCCAGAAAGGACCATCATGATTATCTGGTTTAACCTCCTGCGCATTGCAGGCCACAGAACCTTACCCATTCACTTCTCTAATATGCTTAACCTCTGGCTGAATTACTTAAGTCCTTAAATCTTGATTTAAAGACTTCAAGCTACTGAGAATCCACCACTTACTCTAGTTCAAACAGCAAGTGACCTGTGACCTGTGCTGCAGAGAGAGAAAATGCACCAGGGTCTCTGCCAGTCTTACCTGGGGCAAAATTCCTTCCCAATTTCAAATATGGTGATGAGATAACCCTGAGCATGTGGCCAAGATCCACCAGCTGGACACCTGGGAAAAAATTTTCTGTAGTAATTGAGTCCTCCCCAACTAGTGTCCCATCTCCAACCGTTGGAGATATTTGCTAATAACAGGTTTCAGAGTAGCAGCTCTGTTAGTCTATATTCGCAAAAAGAGAAGGAGTACTTGTGGTACCTTAGAGACTAACAAATTTATTTGAGCATGAGCTTTTGTGAGCTACAGCTCACTTCATCGGAGTCACAGATGGACCATATGCCATTGTAAGCAATCTCATCATACCATCCCTTCCATAAACTTAACAAGCTCAGTCTTATAAACTGTTAGATTTTTTTGTCCTCACTGTCCTCTTGGGAGGCTGTTCCAGAAGTTCACTTCGCTGATGGTTAGACACCTTTCATCTAATTTCAAGACTAAACTTGTTTGATGGCCAGTTTATATCTGTTTGTTCTTGTGCCAATAGTGGCCCTTAATTTAAACAATTCCTCTCCCTCCTTGGTGTTTATCCCTCTGATGTATTTATAGACAGCAATTATATCTCCTGATAGCCTTCATTTGGTTGAGACTGAAGAAGCTTGGCTTCTCTTGTAAGGTAGGTTCTCAGTTCCTCTGATCATGCTAGTAGTCATTCTCTGCACCTGTTCCAATTTGATTATATCTTTCTTAAACATTAGTAACCAGAAATGCACACAGTATTGCAGATGAGGTCTCACCAGTGCCTTGTATAAAAACATTTTTCTATCTCTACTGGATAGGCTCTTTGTCAGGCTGAGAGAGAGCGACTTGTGAATACTCTTTCTTTTGAAGTTATCGGTGACCATGAGTGGGTGAAACTTACCTTGTTCTTCTCCTAGCTACAGTGTTACTAATGAAACATTAAAACAAAATTAGTACTTCACAGACATTTAGAGAAGTTGTTCTTGAATTCTAGAAACATATGACAAAGTGTCACAGTTCACTTCTTAAAGAGATTTAAACAAATAATCATTCATGTAGCTGTTTGAATGAATATAAAATGATTGTATTGTAACGAGCAGGCTAATATGTGTTTTGTGCCCCTGCCCTCTACTATATGAATCTGAACCATTTAATTAGGTCACAGTAGTCCCAACATTGGGACAAAGTTAATGGGAATTTTTCTTTGGTCAGGTGGCAGAAACCTTTGCTTTTGAAAGTCTGTCCCCATTGTTAATATTAAATTCCAAGTGTCCTTACTGTGCAGTATAATGACAACA